CTGGTCCCCGCAGGCTGTGTGGCCTGCGCATCCTGCAGCCCTATGCCGAGAGGATCCCTGTGGTGGCCACGGCCGGCATCACCATCAACTTCACCTCCCAGGTCTCCCTCACCGGGCCCGGTGTGCAGGTGCACTACGGCTTGTACAACCAGTCAGACCGTGAGTACGGGCAGCCCGGGGAATCCCTGGAACCACCAAGGGGGTTGTGGGCAGCTGTTTATGAGGCTGAACAAAAGGAGTGTGTGTGTGTGGGTGTGCGCGCACTTGCACAAATTTATGCAGCTTTGTGTGCCCACATGTGCAAGGCAGCCAAATGGGTTTGCAGAAACACACTCACACATATCCACGTATGTGTTGTGTGCATGTGTCTGGATGTGTATGTCTGCTTGGACTGTGTACAGAGGTGCCCGAACACGTATCTGTGGGTGCCTGTCCATGCGTGTGTGAGCGCACAGGAGCGTGCGTGTCTGTGTGACTTCAAGGCTACGCATGGCCTAACGGCCCCTCCCTGCCCCCATGGTCCCTGTGGTTTTGCAGCCTGCCCTGGAGAGTTCCTCTGCTCTGTGAATGGACTCTGTGTCCCTGCCTGCGATGGGGTCAAGGACTGTCCCAACGGCCTGGATGAGAGAAACTGTGGTGAGCAGCCCACGCGCCCATCCCTCCTCTCTCCTCACCTCTGCTCTGAGCTGAGTGGAGACCCCACCCCTGAATGCAACTTCCATTATCAGCACCCAGGAAACGGGGTGCTCTCACTGTGTGGGGGTGGTGAGATGAGGCAGAGCAGGAATGCGGCCTCCCCGAGACCACCCCGTGGGGCAGTGGCAGGGACAAGTGGGGAGCCAGGTCTCCTGACTTCCAGCTCAGGGCCATCACTCCCAGCCCCTGTCCCAGCCAGGCTTCCAAGAAGGAACGGAATGGGTGAGGGAGCGATCCCTCCTCCTCTGCCCTGTCAAAGTTCTAAGCATGTGGGAAGAAGGAAGTACGAAGTTAATGCGAGGGTTGGGGATAATCCTGCCACAGTGCTGGGGAAGGCACCTCATATTTGGAAGCCAAACATCTGGCTTCAAGTTCTGGCTCAGCCTAGTGACCTAGGATGAGTCACTTTGTCTGTTTCCACCAATGAAATGGGGTATCTCCCAGGGTTGCTGTGAAACTTTGGGTGTAAAGCAGCAGAGAGAGGCCGGGCGCGGTGGCTCACGCCTGTAATCCCAGCACTTTGGGAGGCTGAGTCAAGTGTCTCATCTGAGGTCAGGAGTTCAAGACCAGCCTGGCCAACATGGTGAAACCTGTCTACTAAAAATAAAAAAATTAGCCGGACGTGGTAGCACACACCTGTAGTCCCGGCTACTCAGGAGGCTGAGGCAGGAGAAAGGTTTGAGCCTGGGAACTGGAGGTTGCAGTGAGCCAAGACTGCGCCACTGCACGCCAGCCTGGGCGACAAGAGCAAGGCTGTTTCAAAAAGAAAAAAATAAATAAGTAAACAAAGATAAAAACAAAGTAGCAGAGAAAGAGATTTGTGATTGGTAATGTGCGATACAGTGCACCTTCCACAGGCATCGCCGAGCCCCGCTGGCCCCTCTGGCTTCCTCCCACCTGTCCCCCCTCTATGTCTCCACAGTTTGCAGAGCCACATTCCAGTGCCAAGAGGACAGCACATGCATCTCACTGCCCAAGGTCTGTGACGGGCAGCCTGACTGTCTCAACAGCAGCGATGAGGAGCAGTGCCAGGAAGGTAGGGTGAGCCTGGCTGGGTGTGTGGAGGGACACCAAAGACAGTCTAGGCCTGCTGCGTGCTTCAGCAAAGAGTTCTGGCTTCCCATCATCCCAACACCTACCAACCTCTCTGTACCTACACGTGTATGTCCATCCATCCATCTTCTGGTCTCAAATCACCCTGTCTGTCCATTGATTCATACAGCTACCCATTTATCCATGCATCTACCGGCCTGTGCAACCATCAATCTCCCTATCATCAAACTGTCAATCCACCCACTTATTGATTTGCCTATCTGCCTGTGTGGCCACTGTTCCATCCATCCGCCCATCCATCTGCCCACCCACCCATCCATCCATCCTCCCATCCACCCGTCCATCCATCCATCCATCCTCCCATCCACCCGTCCATCATCCATCGATCCATCCATCCATCCGCCCATCCATCCATCCACCCATCCATCCACCCACCCATCCATCCACCCACTGATATCCCTAGCCCTCTGTTTGTCTACTAGTCCTTATGTCCACTCATTTGTCCAACCTTCTACCTGTTTGTCAGTTTCCCTAATGGACCACCACTCCACCCATTGGCTTGTCTGCCCAATCTTCTCTCTGGCTCTATTTATCCATCCATCCATCTACCCATCCAACTGACCAACCAACCAACACTTCCAGAATACCCAGCAATAGGCCAGGTGCAGTGAGGAAGCAGGAATAAAACACCACAGATGCAGCCCCTGCCTTCCAAGCCTTATCTGTTAGTAGGAGGATATGCTGGGTGACTTTCTTTCCTGCAATGTGGGAAGACTGGGGGGCAGGGAGGAGGTCCGACATGAAGAGCTTCCTAGAGAAAGTAGGTGTTTGGTCCTTGATGAGAGCTAAAACTTAAATAAGCAAGCAGAGGGGAGAGAGGCCAAGACCAGGTGGTGGAGCGTAAAGTTCTTTACAGTGAAGAGCAGGGAGGAAAAGGTGGGCAACCGGGCAGAGCCTGGGGGACTGCCAGGCTAGGTGGGGACCTGGTCTGAAAGTGGAGGCACAGTTCTGCCTTGAAGTTCCACACCGGAGGCGGTCAGGAGCTCCAGTCTGAGAGGGAGACACTGCCTTGTGCTCAGCAGACAAGTCTGAGTGAGACTGGGGGGGATGGACATGGCCTGCTTTTAGGAGCCCCTAAAGGAGACTCAGAAAAAGGCTCTCCAGTCCCCTCCTGGCTCCATCGTTCCTGCACCCCACTTTGGAAGGCTCCCTTGGGGCTCAGAGACCCACCTTCTGTGCCCTGTCCTCATCCCCTCTGTCCCAGGGGTGCCCTGTGGGACATTCACCTTCCAGTGTGAAGACTGGAGCTGCGTGAAGAAGCCCAACCCACAGTGTGACGGACAGCCCGATTGCAGGGACGGCTCAGACGAGCAGCACTGTGGTGAGCCCTACCCGGCTGCCTGGGGCCCTGGAGCTCGGGAGGGAGGGGGCTGCCCAGAGCAGGTGGCCAGAGGGAAATCTCACTGTTGTCCCCTGGTCTCTCTATCCCATCCTCTGCCCCCTCACCTGGGTCCTGATGGTCTCTCCCCCTCCCCGGTTCTCCTGTTCTCGGTCTCTCCATCTCTTTCCTTTGCCCTTCTTCTCTCTCTGTCTGCTTCTCACTGGCCTCTCCCCTTCCCCTCCTCCTCTGTCCACCCCACCACCTGCCCGCATCCCCAGACTGTGGCCTCCAGGGCCCCTCCAGCCGCATTGTTGGTGGGGCTGTGTCCTCCGAGGGTGAGTGGCCGTGGCAGGCCAGCCTCCAGGTTCGGGGTCGACACATCTGTGGGGGGGCCCTCATCGCTGACCGCTGGGTGATAACAGCTGCCCACTGCTTCCAGGAGGACAGGTGAGGGGGAGGGGACCTAGGCTGTAAGACACAAGGGCAGGGAAGGCGGGGCGGGAGGCGCACTGTGTCTGAGCTGTTTGCAGAGAGAGGGAAGGGTGGTGGAGCCCCCAGACAGGCTACTGCGACATGGGTTCTAGTCCTGGCGCCACCAGGACCCACTGGGGCCCTGGACACGTTCCGCCTCTCTGCCATCTACTTTTGGTACCTTGCTTTAAGTTGGGTCAGTGATTCATTCATCTGTTCACCTCACTCACTCACTCAGCAACACTGGTTGTGCTCCTACTGTGTGCCAGGGGCTGTGCTAGACTCTGGGGATGCAGTAAAGGACAAACTGCCCGATCTGGTCATAAGCTATGACACTCCCCCAGGTGTGACACGGGGTGGCGGGTGGGGCTGCGGAGCCCCCAAGGGATGTCTCATCAGGCCCCATGGCCATCTTTCCCATGTGCTTGGAGGGCTGAATCCACCCCCAGACAGACCCCGCCCCCAGGCCCTGCACAGGGAGCCGGCCCCCTTTTGTATCCTCTGGGGTGCAGGGTGCTCTGACTACTGACCACCCAGCTCTCTTTAGCCCCATCCCAGGCTCCTCCCCCCACCCCACCGGCCTCTGGTGGAGAGACCCGAAGGCTGCCCACCTGCCACCCAGGCAGCTGGCTGGCTCAGGCCAATTCCTCCATGCTCGATTCACACCCCCTGCCCGCCAGGACCCACCAGCCTCAGGGAATTCAGAGCAGCCTGGGTCTGTAAAGCGCACAGGAATATGTGTCCCGGGCCAGGCACTGTGCTACATTTTTTACATACACGGTCTTATTAGATTCTCTCAAGAACATTCGAGTAGAAAATGCCATTCCCATTTCTCAGATGAGGCGGCAGAGGCTTTGAGAGGCACGCACGTGTCTAGGGAGGGATGGAGCTGAGCCGACTAGGACCAAGGCTGAAGGCTGTTCCATCAGCTAGGCGGCCTCCAGGGAGGGAAGGGAGGGCGGGTGTGGAGGTCACTGTCCCAGGTGGGGAGCTGGCTATTCTGAGGGTCTCTGGCTGGGAAGAGGCAGCCCCGGAGCAAGGACCCCACCCCCTCCCACCTCACCTCCTCCCACCCCACCCCACCTTGCCCCAGCATGGCCTCCCCGGCGCTGTGGACCGTGTTCCTGGGCAAAGTGTGGCAGAACTCGCGCTGGCCTGGCGAGGTGCCCTTCAAGGTGAGCCGCCTTCTCCTGCACCCGTACCACGAAGAAGACAGCCACGACTACGACGTGGCGCTGCTGCAGCTCGACCACCCGGTGGTGCGCTCAGCCGCCGTGCGCCCCGTCTGCCTGCCCGCGCGCTCCCACTTCTTCGAGCCGGGCCTGAACTGCTGGATCACCGGCTGGGGCGCCCTGCGCGAGGGCGGTGAGCAGCAGCGGGGACTGGCGACAGGAGATGGGGCCAGGGGAAGGGCGGGGCTGGACGCCCTGGGGCTCCACCCACGGGCCCTCTAGTCCTGGGATCCAAATTGGGCTGAATTTTTACAGTAGAAAACCACCATTTAGTGCGGCCCATAGGCCCCCTGCCCCTACCCTCCCAGCTCTTCCCTTCCTTCTGGAAGGGCGTTTCCTGTGGGGCAAAGGGGCAGGTCTGGGACCATTGGCCACGTGCAAGCTCCACCCGCTCCTCCTGGGGCTACAAGGGTGGAGGCTCTGAATTATTAGCACTTTCCACACGAGGCTGGATTTTAAGAGAACGTGACTTCATAGGATCCACCCAACAGCCCTGGGGCGGATGCTGTGGGCCCATTTTATGGATGGAGAGACCAAGGCTCAGAGACATGTTGCTGTAAGTCACACAGCCAGAGAGGTCTGGAGCAGAGATGGGAACCCAGGACTTTGGGGCCTCTAGAGCTCCCGCTCTTCCTGCTTCTGCTCTCAGAAATGGGGTCTCTCCCCTTTCTACCTTCACTGACCAGAGCTGGCCATCCCTGGAGGCCACTGCACAGTTCTGTGGACACAGGCCCAGCTGGCAAACCTACAGCCATGCCCTGCAGCCTCAGTGCTGGTGGCTTCTATACAATGACTTACAATCTGGAGGCAGGCAGGGCCGCAGAGATATTTTAAGGGGCAAACTGAGGCTCAGAGAAACAGTGACTTGCCCAGGGGGATGGCAGAATCATGGCAAAGCAAAGGTTGGTTCATTCACTATGCGCCTACTCATTCAGTCACTCAGTGACATGTTTCTGAGCATCAACTATGTGCCAGGCATGGTGCTAGGGGAAGGGCACGTAAGGATGAAGAGGACATTCTCGGGGGGTAGAGAGACAGCGGTAAGGGCCGACATGGACGGGGAGGTGCAGGAACCATGAAGACACAGAGGAGGCCCCTGCCCAGGTCGGGTCAGGGGAAGCTTCAGGGGAGAGTTGTTGAAGCTGAGGCCTGGAGGATGAGGTGGCAGTGTCCAAACAGGAGACATTCAGGTGAAGACACAGGTGTCAGGACAGGAAGACCTGAGAACATCCGCAGCCTGCCAGAGGGGTGGAGGTGGCGGCAGGTGTGCCCGGGCAGCCAGAAGGACAGTGTCAGGATCTCGGACCAGGAGCTCTCCCTCCCACCTGCACCTTAGAACCTTGTGCGGAGCCTCAAGGAGCACCCTGCGTATCAAGGCTCCCCGGGGACTGTGGTGTGCAGCCCTCGTGGAGAATCGCTGGGGTGGACTGCAGAGTTGGGGCGCTGCAGAGTTCTAAGGAAGCTATGGGGGGTCAGGTATGGGCTTCAGCAACACCCCCAGGTTCTGTAATAGGGCACTGGGGAGCCAGCCAGAGCCCAGAGGTGCCTGAGCAGGCAGAGGGTGGGGGATAAGAAGCTAGAGGAAGATGCTCATCCACGTGGGCCTTGGTGGGGGGCTCTGTCACCATGATCCCCACAGAGAAAGAGCTAGAATAAAGTGACAGGGAGGCAGAGGGGCAGGAGCGACCCTAGCAGGGGAAAGGGTGGGCAGAGCAGGAGAGAGGTGGGCTCCTGAGATGCAAAGGGAATAGCCTTAGGGAGAACAGGGAACAAGGGCTCCAGGCAGATGAGATCTCACCTCTGCCCTTGACCATGGACAGGCCCCACCAGCAACGCTCTGCAGAAAGCAGATGTGCAGCTGATCCCACAGGACCTGTGCAGCGAGGCCTATCGCTACCAGGTGACGCCACGCATGCTGTGTGCTGGTTACCGCAAGGGCAAGAAGGATGCCTGCCAGGTGAGTCCCCCGGGCGTGGGAGGGAGAGGATGCTGCTCACTTCACCAGGGCCTGGCCCTTTGCTCACATCGGCCTGCTGAAGCCTCCCATCCTCTCAGCAAGGTGGCGAAGGCCGCCCCCACTTTACAGAAGAGGAGACTGAGGCTTGGGGGAGGGTCCGAGGAGCTTGCCCAAGGTTGCAGAGCCACAGACCGGAAGAGATGTGACAGGCAGGTCAGGCTCAGACGCGGTTCCGCTCCTTGCCCATCGCAAGGCACTAGGCCCACAGTGAGGTGGACACAAGGAAGAAGAAAGAGGTGTCAGCCACAGAGGGGAGGCAAAGGCAGAGGGGGGCGTGGGGACACAGCGCAGGTCCAGGAGGGCCCAGACTGGCTGGAGACTGCGCAGGGCTGGCTTGGGCACTCTCTGTTTAGCAGGTGAGGGGAAAGCAGAGCTTTAAGACTGAAAGCGCCTCTCTGGCACCACCCAGCCAGTTCCCATAAGTAGGAACTCAATCCCCATGGCCCCTCACCTAGAAAGGGGGTGCCCTTACCCTGCTTCCGTCCTCTCTCCTTTCTCCCTTGCAGGGCGACTCGGGCGGTCCGCTGGTGTGCAAGGCACCCAGTGGGCGCTGGTTCCTGGCGGGGCTGGTCAGCTGGGGCCTGGGCTGTGGCCGGCCTAACTACTTCGGCGTCTACACCCGCATCACAGGGGTGATCGGCTGGATCCAGCAAGTGATGACCTGAGGAACTGCCCCCTGCAGAGTGGGGCCCACCTCTTGGACTCACAGAGCCCAGGACAACTGCCAAGCAGCAGGACACGTATTCTGGGGGCAGGCAGGTGGGCTCTGTAGTCGCAGGAGGTGGCATCTTGTCTTGCCCCTGATGTCTGCTCCAGGCGGAGGCGTGCCAGCAGCTGGAGGTCAAGACGTCCCCTGAGGACCCAGGCCCACACCCAGCCGTCTGCCTCCTGATTCTCTCTCCTCTGTCCCCTTCCTCCACCGCTGCCTATTGCGGGGAGGTAGCTCAGCAGCAAGAATGCTGGTTCCAGGTCCCTGGGAGTGTCCGAGATGTACTCTACCCTGTACAGAGGTTACTTGGGCTGCCTTAGCTCCAGAGAGCAGATTCCAGCTTTGGAAGCCCCAGCCGAACTTGGGGTCTGGGGATGGAAGGTGCCTCCATAGGAGGGAACCTCAGAGCCCTGGAGACTGCCAGGTGGGCCAGCGCCACTGTAAGCCAAAGGGTGGGGAAGCCCTGATGCCAGGGTCCTTGCCCACCCCTGCCTGCCACCTGGGCCCTCACAGCCCAGACCCTCACCGGGAGGTGAGCTCAGCTGCCCTTGGGAATAAAGCTGCAGATCCCAGCCCTACTGCTGGAGTTTGAATGGGGACCTGGGCACCAGCCTCACGCCTTTGATTGAAGCAGCCCCTGCTTCCTGCTCAGCCTGTCTGACAAGTGTCCAGAAGGCCAAGGTGGGCTCAGTAGCAGCAGGCATGGCCACTGAGGGTGGGGCCTCCAGGGCAGCTGTCCAAGTCCCAGGAGAAACGCCTGGAAGGCAACCATTTGGGGACCCTCGGGTCAGGGTGAGGGATGTGAGAAGCAATGGTCTTTTGGGAACTTAGGGGGAAACTGAGGCTCAGAGAGGCGGTTAACATCCTCATGATGGCACTGGGGTCAGGAGTAGAGGAGGCATGGACTCCTGTCTCCCAGTCCCCATCTACTATGGCCCCCTCCAGCTCAACACTCACTCCCTTTGGATTCTTTGAGTCACCGAGTAGAACCTCGGGCTCCAACCATGCGCCAGCACTGTGCTGGGACCACAGGGGTGAAGGACCTGACTCCTGACCCCAGGAGCAGTGAGGATGACCCAGTGGGAAGGGGCCAGCGGGGAGCATGGACCGGGTAAGTCAAGGCAAACTGCTTGGAGGCCGTGAGACTTGAGCTGGGGCTCAGAGGTGGTCAAGGTGGGCACATCCGGGAAGGATATTCCAGGCAGGGGAAGAGCATGTGCAAAGGCACAGAGTCCTGGAAGGATGAGGCACACTGGGACCTGGCGAGCTGAGCGAGTGTGTGTTAGAACAGAGAGAGGGGAAGCGCTGAAGGAGTCGGAGGGGCAAACTGAGGTGGGATAACAGAACCTGGAGTTGAGCCAAGGATTTGACCCTGAAAGCACTGGGGAGCCATGGTGGGCTCTAGAGTAGAGGAGTGACATGAGTGGACGCACATTTTGGAACCACCCACTGGCGTGAGTGTGGAGGGAGTGGCAGGCAGGGAGGCTGGTTAGGAGGCCACTGCAGGACCCCAGGAAGGAGAGGATGGGCCCAGACTGAGCAATGCCACAGGATGGACTGGAGGGTGGTTTTGGACTCCTGGGGCAGTGGAGATGGAGCCAGGGGCCAGCTGGAGGTGAGGGTGGGCGGTCAAGTGTGGACAACTCTGGAAGCCTAACAGAGCAGGAGAAAGGGGTCCTCAGAGGGGCCCACGACTGAAGAGGAGGGTTTTCCAACATGGGCACTGCTGCCACGTCTGTGGGTGAATGAGGCAGAAGGGGAGGCAGGGATGGGGAGCACCCACCTGGGTCCAGCCAGGCGGAGCCCGGGCGGGCAGGCGGGCGGGCGGGGCGCATCTCGAGTGGGTGGGCACAATACACACACGATCCCTCTGGTGATCCGGAATCACCCTGGGCCTACCCCAGTCTCCATCGGAATCCTGGAGGGGCGGAGGGTCATCTGCTCTCCTAACAAGCCTCCTGGTGACTCTTTTGCAAGGAGAGTTGGACCCCAAAAGTGAGGCCAGCTTTGGAGTGGCGAGGCCCTCCAGGCTGGAGCTGGCAAGAGGGAGCCCCCACACCTTAGGGGCCCGCTGCCCGGCAGGATTTCCTCAAGCCAGGCCACGGAGAGACTCGGCAGGACGGGGGAGCTGAAGGAACCGGCCAGGGTAGGTGAAGGGCCTGGGGTCCGGGCTGGGGCCAGCAGACTCAGAGAAGGGAGAGGGTGGGGGGTTTTCAGTTCCTGGGATTTAGGGCAGAGGGGTGGCAGCAATGGGGAGAGGTGGCAGTGGCCCGGGCATCAGAGTAGAAGTGGAGGGGTACCCTGAGAGGGTTAGGGGGTGGCAGAGGCAGCCTGGCTCCCAGCCAGGTAGAGTGGGTGCTCTAGTATCCAGCCCCAGGGCAAAGGATATAGCCAGTTTCCCAAGCCCTCCCCGCAACACACAGGAAACTGGCAACAGGGCAGCGTCCCTGGGCTTTCGGGAGAAAGCTGAGTTCCTTTGGGCCAGTCTACCACACCTTGAGTTTAGCCCCGTCCCCAAAAGTGGCCCAGAGAAAGAGAGGGCGACAGCCAGGCTGGGCTGTTCCTTCGGGCTTTATTACATGGTGGGGTCCAACACAGCTGAGAAGCAAGGGCCCATCCCGGGAAGTCAAACTCAGGAGGGGCCCCGGCTCAGCCGTCACACCCACTCTCCCCTGGGCACTTCCTGAGTCCTCCACTGCCCCTGCCCAGCCCCTTCCGCTGCCTCTCCCCGCCCTCCAGACCAAGTGCTGGGCGGGCAATGCAAGTGGCTGGGGGTGGGATCACCACGGTGAAGACTGAGCCAGCTACCCCTGCTCTAACAGGCCAGTTCCCCACACCCTGAATCCCCAATACCTGAATCTCCATTTGCAAACAGCATTCTGCCAGGGGGTTGGGCTGGGTCCTTTCCCTCCCGGGGCAGCTGAAGGGGGGACGGCCCCTATATACTACCTGAGGGCCTTCGGGGACCTGGCTCCTCCGTGCACCCTCACAACAACCCTGTGAGGTAGGTGGGGTGGGAGGAGTTACCCCCTGGACTAAGGCTCAAGGAGGTGCTGTGACTGGGCCAGGAGGGAGCACATCTGCCATGCAGCAGGGGGACCTGGGAGAGGGGGCGTGGGGGCTGGAGAGGCACAGCCAGGCAGTGTCACATGTCCGCCACAGGCAGTCGGCTCTGCCCAGGGGTCCTGGGGCCCACCTCAGGCCTTGAGAGGTCCCAGGGGGCCCCCGCCCCGCCCCTGGAGGCAGGAGTAAGTCACAGCCCCACGGATGCAGACAGAGGAGGCCAGGGAGAGGGCACTTCTTCCTTCTCAGGCCCGGGGCCCACCCCATGGTACAAAAATAAAGGATTTCAGATGGGAACCCCAAGTCCCTGGAGGTGATCTGGGGCCTCACATCCAGGTGCCTCTGGCTTGTAACAGCTAGAAAAAAAAAAGAGGAAGGGCAGGAGGAGAGGAGGGGCGGAGGTGGGGCCGGTAAGGAGGGGGTGATGTGGGGCCGAGGGCAGAGAGGAGATTGAAGGGCAGGGAGAGGGGGAGAGAGAGAGGCAGTTGAGTCAGTCACAGGCTTCCTTCTGGAGGAGGGGGTGGGGCTGAGGCCCATAGAAAGTAGATTCAGAACTGAGCCGGCGGGAGCAGGAAAGGTGCCCCAACTAACCCATCCAGGAGCCCCATGCCCCATCTTGGGCTGGTGATGGCACCTACAGAGGCCAGATTCTGCCAAGACTCTGAAGGCACTGGGGTGGTGGGTGGCTAGGGCTGGGAGAGGCACTGGTACTCCAGGCGAAAGGAGCCACAAAGAGCAGCTCTCTGTCCCCATTTTAGAGGCAGTTGTGGCCCAGAGAGGGACAGTGACTTGCCCAAGGTCACACAGCAGACAGAGAAGATTGGGGTAGGGGGCCTGTGGGCATGCGGCCAGGGCTTTTTCTGCCACTCACAATCCTTACGGCAGCTCTGGCTGACACTTCATGGGCCAAGGGTATCCCAAAGTGCCCACAGTGGCCCGTTCTCCCCATCCCCACAGAAATAGGGATACCACAAGGCAGTGACACAGGAGCTCCTGGATGTGCAGGACTCGGCCAGGGCCCTGGGCTTCAGCAGTCCCTCCCTCCTCCCCAGTCTGGCTCAGGTGCTGACGGGCTGGTGGGAAAGCTCCCACTCCCTAACTCTCTTCTCCTCTCGGAGCCTCACCCCCAAGGCCAAGGTCAGATGAGAAACTTTGGTGGGTGGAGATAATCAGCCAAAAGCTCGGCTCAAGTCCAGGGATCAAGAGGTGAGCACCCTCCTCACTCCACCCCTCCCGCCAGCACCGCCAAGCTACAAACCAGGGATGGCAGCTCTGGGGGCGGGCGAGGGGCCGAGGAGAAGCCCTCATGGCAAGCTCAGCCTCAGGTCTGAGAGGGTGCGGGCGGAAACCTGCAAGGAGGAGACGTGAGGAGGCGGCGGGAGGAGGAGAGGCGGGGCAGGGCCCGAGGCTGAGGCCGAGCCTCAGAGGTGCCCAGCAGGGTTGGTGGGCACAGAGGAGGTGCAGCTGCGCCCCTCCTCCCCAGGCTGGGAGGCAGGAGGTACCAGAAGGGGCGCAGGAGGCGGCAGGCAGGATGGTCTGGGGTGCAGGGCCAGGGGGCCTGCGTGGAGGGCACGGGAGGCTGGGACCAGGGCAGCCCCGGGATGGAGGCGTGAGCAGGCAGAGAGAAAACCCGGACAGGGGCAGAGAGGGAAGAGGCAGGGTGCAGATGAGATCCAGGAGGAAGAAGAGGTGGATGAAGATGAGGCAGGACCTCCAGCGGGAAGCGGAGGAGGAGGCAGTGGTGGGAGGGAGAAAAGGTTAGCGGGATCCTGAGATGACTGGGCTGCAAA